GGGCTTCGAGACGCGCCTGGATGAATGCGTAGTGCTCATGGAAAAAATCTGGAAGGAGGAAGGGGAGGAGGGAGGGGTGGGAGGGGCTGCGCCCGCCTCCTCCTCCTCGGGTGGTGCTCCTCCTTGTTCGCCTTCGTCCGATCCCTCCTTGATAGAGGGTGGGGAAAGGCGAAGTGAGAGAGCGAAGGCGTGGGGGGAAGAGGAAAAACTGCAGGCGGTAGTAGAAGCCTTGCTTGGGAGGGACTCTGAGGAGGGACGCGGTCGGTAGACAAGATGGCGAGGAGGAAGGACGGGAAGTTCGGAGGGGTGGTGTACGGTGACACGCAGAAATGCTGCTTATCACGAGAGCCTTTCCTAAAAGATAGAGGGCTCAGGACTGAAGGGCTTCCTTTCCAAGCCAATCGCTTTTACTTTCATCCAGCACCGGGTAACGCGTATGTTAGCTTGAGTATGTAATTCGGAAGATAAATTCATGGAAGAGACGAAGGGCAAAAAAGAAATACGGCCAAAAGAAAAAAAATGCGTGTAATTAGAAGCCAGGTCGCAGGGGATCGTAATTTCAACTATGAATTCTCGCTCTCAGAAAGGGTCAAGAGCTGTTGGACAAAGCAGATGGAAAGGAAGAAGAATAGCGGGGAGAAGGAGAGCAATACTTGAGGCGCAGAGAAGGCTTATGAAAGCGAAAGCATGAAAACAAGTTGGAAAAGACATGACCGATAGGAAGGGGGGAAGTTTTAAGTAGATACATGTTTGCTCGAGAATGTTGACGAGGGAAAGATATTGCGGACAAAAGAGGTACAACTTCACACGGGATTCTAGAAACCATGAACAAGGACCTTGCTCACGGGGCCTTTAAAAACAGAAGAAATCCGCCTTTTATTGGGACTTGAATTGTTCAGGGTGGTGGGTATTATCGCATGAATTTTCCATATCAGTTTCTTCTGTGTCCTTACGCTTCCTGCCAACTCTCCAACCCCTCTTCTTCTCTAGATAGGTATGTTTTCCAAGTCTCACTGCGACATCAATTGACGCTTACCTGCCCCTAACCGTAGCCCTCGCCTTAGCCCTAACCCTTGTCACCAGGACGCCCTCACAACCTTTCTCTCCCTCCTGCGTCCTTCTTTCAGATGCCCGGAGACGACTCGTTTCTATCTTCTCTCCTCTCCCTTGCTATAACATCCCCCCTTTTCGACCTCTCTGGCAAGACGCCGAAACAATGTAGTAGAGCTTCCTCGAGACATAGCTCTGGCTTTGTAATTTTCGGGGCAATTGAAAGAAATCTGACCGTTACCTCCCCCAAAGACATCCTGTTAAATTCACTTACTAACCCTCCCCGCTCTCTCTCTTCCCGGCCTTCCCCGCTTCGACCGCGTAAGGCCTCTTTCGAACCCGCTTGTTGGTTTGTCTCCTCTTT